GTCAATGTTCATCCTGTTGTTTGAAATGGAGCAAAGTATTTAGTTCTTCCATTCATTAAATGCTAATTTCTTTTATTAGTGATTAAGTCAAGACCACATATTTATTGGTGCCAAGGGATGCCAGCTGTTTAGTGCTTCGGGTGTTTTTTTTTGTTATTTTATACTCTTATATTTGCCATAAGGACGGTAAATCACATGAGTCTGATTAGTACAGGTGTTGTTAGTAAAGGCCTTACTCTTTTTGTATTATATACGGAAGTAGTGTTGTTGAATACCTAAGTTTATTTTCTTCTGCTATTTTACTTCTTGCAAATTTTAGTTAACTGCAGTGAAATTTTTTTCTATCTGGTATTCCTTTTGAAAAACACTGGTTTAGAATATAGAAGTAAAACTGAAGACTAACTAAAAGTGAGACTTTTAGATAGTCTTAAAAAATAACTAAAAGTATATTTTTGCGCTTCATAAAGTTGTTCCCTATTCACAGTATGTCTGTGTGTGAATATTTCAGATTGGCCCAGCATGTCAGTGGGAATTTAAAATTTGGTGTAGAGATTACAGAGTCATAGAATAGCTTCACTTGGAAGGACCTTTAAAGATCATCTAGTCCCACCTCTCTAGCCAGGAATGTGTTTCAGTAGGTCATGTTAATTAAAACCCTACCCAAGATGTCTTTGAAAGCTTCAGTGATGGGGAGCCTGCAGTCTTCTTCCACTGCCACACCACCTTGTCCATTTTCCTTATGTTCAATCTGAATTTATACTTAATCCAAATTTAAATATTTTTAAATTGAAAAGGATACAATTTAAAATTGTTAAACCTTTTTCTGTTACTTGAGACATTGGTAAAGTCTGAATTTCTTACAAGCGCCCTTGGGGTATTGAAAGGCAGCAATCAGGACCCTTGTTTGTATTTTCCAAGCAGCACAAACCCAACTGTTTCATCCTTTTTTCACAGGAAAGGTGTGAAAATGCTTCTGATCAGTTTTGTGGCCCTGCTATGGACCTGTGTTGATATGGTTTCTGGTGCTAGGGTCTACAGAGCTGGACACTCCAGGTAGGGTCTCACAACAGCAGACAAGAGAGGGAGAATTGTCTCCTTTGACCTGGGGTGGGCCCAGGATACAGTTGGCTTTCTGGTGTAAAAGTGCATGCTGCTGGCTCATGTTCAGCATTTTGTCCAGTAGTTCATGCAAGTACTTTTCCTCTCAATCAATTCATCCCACAGTCTGTATTGATAATGGGCTTTGCCAAACCCAGGTGCAAGACCTCTCACTTTGCCTTGTTTCACTTTTGAGATTTTCAAGCCTGTCGATGTCATTCCTTCTGGATGGCATCCCTTCCTGCTGGTGTAGAAACGGCAGTGCTCAGCTTGGTACTGTTTATATAATGAAGATGTAATTAGGAGGATGTTAAATATTACTGGTTTCAGTATAAACCCTGGAGTAGCACCACTTATGATAGGTTTCCATGTGGACATAGAGCAGTTAACTGTAAACCCTCTGGACAGGGACATAGACCCTTACTCATCTAATAGTGCATCCATCAAACTGTTAGTTCTCCAAATAAATAGCAAGAATGTTGTGGGGGACTGTATGAAAGGCTTTTTGGAAATGGAGGTAGGTGACATCGAGAGCCCTTCATTTATCCAATGATGTAATCACAGGCATGGTTTGCCCTTGGTGAAGTATGTTTCCTGTATCTAAGTACCCTCTTGTCATCCATGCTTGTCATAGTATACTGGTTTGAAAGCAAGCTAGTGAGACATTCCTAGTCAGAACTACAGTTTAATTGGAAAATTAAAATACAGGTAATCGTACAGAAACAGTATCAGGACACTGATACCCTGTTGGTCAGGGTGATGATAGCAGTCCGATTAAATGGTGGACGTGGTTCTGTCAAAGCAGTGATCCTGTAGAAGGGTCTGGTCTTTCTCTAAAGGTGATGGTTTTGTAGCTCATGTCCTCTGGGAATACAGTAGGTAGGGCTGCCCATGGTGTTCCAAATCTCAGATTATAGCCAGGTAGGAATGTTTGATTTATCCCTGTGGGCACAGCATCTCACAATGGGACGGTGTAATTTTTGAGTCATGCAGTGAGGCTTGATGGCCCGTTAGCAGAGATAGCCCCAGAGGGAATTATCAGGGATGAGTCATGGAGGAGATAAGAAACACTGCCACACCTGTTTTAACAGCTTATGAAGATGGTAATAAAATACATATTTTACATTGTAACCTAAAACACATAGCTTCCAGAAGGACCTGTTTCATGATTTTACTGGGCAATATGGATTGGTGGTTCCCATGACCTTTTTTACTCTTTTTAAAAAAAGACATGAAATTCCCTTTCCTGGGGACTTTGTCTGGCTGCTGTAAGATAGATATGAATGCAAAAAATACCTGTTATGAGAACAACAAACCACTGCTTTTGTCAATAAAGGAAGTTGTATTTTATGTGCAGAGATTTAGGCTCTTGTAATTTTTCCAGATGCAGCAAGGAGACCTCTAGAACTCACTTTGATGTGTATGTTTACCATCTTGTTACAGATTCAATATGGAGGAATGACTGGTTGTAGCTGGTCTAGTGTTCCCATCTAACTATTTTGGTTTGGGAAGGAAGTATGCTGTTCTTGAAGAATGACTCCCGATGGTGTTCTTGTCCTTTGCTGTTATTGAGAGTGCACTGTTTCAACTATTTGAAGTTTAGCTTGCAGCTTAAAAAGTATGCAAGTATTCTCATATTTCTCCACAATTTTTGTCCAGAGGATTTGGAAAATACTACAATGCCATATCAGGCACAGTTGAAATAATCGACTCAAATTGCACTTGGTTAGTCATGGTAATACAGAGTGAATATACCCAAATGCATACATATGATTATATTATCTGTAAAATAAAATTATTTATGCATTCCTGTACTCTTGAATGGATTAAAAATCACAAGTGCATTATGATTGTATTAATCCAGAGCATTACATTTAAACAAAACTAACTCTGAGAGCTGCACTGAAGCTTTTAAATGATCCTGTACTCTCAAGTAAGTGATAGAATTGTTACAATAACTCTGAGTTGTAGTGCTTACAGAAAGCAGTTATGTGACTTGGAAAATTCATGTCCTACCCAATTCTGTGTATCGTCTGTGTAAATGACTTCTATGACTGCAGTTAGTTTTAATTGAAGTAGTTTAAAAAGTTATACTCACTTTTCCTATCCTTGATGCAGAATGGGATTAAAAGAAAGCTTTTGATTTCTCATATTTTCTCCTTTTTGAGAAGATTTCCTACATTCATCAAGTGCTGCATGTCTAATATTGAGTACTCAGAAAAAAGCAACCGCTGGTAGAAGGCTGTTCTAGTGAATGAAGGGAAACAGAGCATCCTGTGTGCTCGCTGAAGAAGAAAGTAATTTACTTTTTGCTATTCAGTGAGGGTGGCATTGTGTGTGGTGGGTCCATGTCTGTCTGGTATGTTCTGTCGACGAGTGAATTGATGTTTATTTTTGTTCCTTCCTCCTGTGATGGTACTGATCTGCCTTCAGTGATGTTCCTTTTTTTACTATGCCGTGGCCAAGGAGTACCTTGTATTTCTTGCCAGTTGATGCCACAGTAAATCAGTTATTTATGCCAGTTAAGAATATATAATGAAATTACTCAATTAAGTTCATTGCTGTCTTTTTGTTATGCTGATGAACTAGTCTGAGAGTATGCTGGTTAAATCATGTATAAGGACAGCATCTTTAGTATAAGTTGGGTGATATTTTTGCTTAGAGTGCTATTAGGGCATCAGCATTGTAACAATGACACTATATTATTTTATTGTGCCTGTTGGCATTCAGCAGAGTAATGAGTAAGGATTCACTTTCTAATGGAGTGCGTGTTTGAGGGTGTGTGTGCGTGTATATTTACCCACAAGTGTTAAGTAAAGCAGTATACTACATTGTCCCTTTTTGAATCAAACATATGTTTGTTGCGAGAAGTACCAACACGGACAATATAACAGTAATTTCTTTGAACAGAAAAGTATGTGAGAAATATACGTGAAACTTTTTTTTTTAAATATAATGCATTTACATGTTGATTGTTTCACTTATACTGCAACATTAAGGAATTGAGGGGATGGGGGAAAATACTCTTTTTTGTTGATGATGTCTGTTAAAAAAACACAGTCAGTCTGGTCAAGTCACCTACAGCCCTCTTACAAATTTCTACCTGATAATTAGATGTTAAGAATGCATACTGTCTGTGAATGACTTTTGTGAACTTGAAAATAATACAGTATTATTTTAAGAGCTTGGTGTGTCTAAGGTTCTAAGTTTTCTTGTAAGTTACTGATCAGTCTTCTGGAGACTTTTTAGGTTGTTGAAAAGCACAGCACCTCACAGATAGATTTTCTAAAGAGTAAGAGTATTTTTGTTGCGACTACTCAGCAGGCCATGGTTGTACAGAGAATACCTCTTATTTAGGAATGTAATATGGAAAACTGGAAAACACAAAGAAACACTGGCACAGTGGGTCAAGAGAGTCTGAACTGACAGTATGCAGCAGTGTAAATTTAAAAATCTTGTAAGACATAAAGAAAGAAACAAGTTACTTGCACATGAAGTATATATATATCAGCTTGATAAAATACTTCAGTTGTTTAGTTGGAAGTGTACTAGTCTGTTCTAGATGTTTGGGGAGCCCAGAACACAGACAAAATTTTCTTGCAGGTTTTTTTTGGTGCTTATACCAGCCAGCCAGGTTATTTCATGCATTCCCCCCTCACCCCCCATGCCATGTAGTATTTTGATTGCCAGACAAATTTTTCCAGCCTGACAATCATGTGTTTTGAAATACTCAATTCATAACACAGAAAATTATCATTATGTAATTGTTATAGAGTTCTTAGTAAAAATTATCAGTAAACCAATAGCTCCCTCTGTCCTCCCAACTGCTTTATTTTCCCACCTGGGGATAAGAGCTGATTAATGAACTGAAATGAGAGTTTTTGTCCTGTGTTTTTGTAGCGATGATTGCAGAGGTGGGAGTGCAGAAGAGGCTGTTTGGATTGAGTCTGAAGAGGTTGGGGTTTATGTTTTACTTTTCTGGTCTAAGGGTATTGTCTTCTGTATTTGAGAAGATGAATAATAATAAGTGAATAATAATTTGTAATGCTGTAAAGATTTAAGGTATGATAGGAACACTTAACAATAATTAACGTCCTTAGAAATAAATACAATGAAACATCCAAAAGAGTACTGATTTCAAATTACAGGTAACTGAGATGCTTGATATATGAATTTGTTTTAAAGGGGGGAAGTTTTTCAGTTTATCCTTGTTCTCAACACAGTGCATGATATACATCTAATCAAAAAACTAAACTTACTTGTAAATGTAAAACCCAAACTGTTATAAGTAAATGTAAAACCCAAAGTGTTATAAGTATATAGTTTCTGTGAGATTAAAAAGGAAAAAAGATACTGCTTATTTTCATACGTTTTATTGCTAGTTTAAAAGTTTTGCTTTAGAAAATTCAGTATAATTACTTTAAAAAAAAGATTGCAGATAATTCTCCTTGATAAAGCTGTATAAAGATATTCAAAAGATTCTGTGGTTCTAAGTTTCCATTAGACAACTGCAATATTGATACGGTTTTAGGTATTTTTGATATCAAATAGCCAGTGAAATAGTTATTCTTGGAATTCCCTTCAAAAAGTCAGATAAAAGGTTTTGAATAAGGATATTTACCTTTCCTGGCTTGTAAGTCAGAGGCATTCTTAGTTTTTTGATTTCTGCTGATGTTTTATAAATTCAGAGCTTCACTTGAAAGCAAACACTCGTGCTGTAGCTAGTTATGCCTTGTAATATTTATTAGCGACTTATCTTTTTGTCAGTGTTTCTGAGTTTGCTCCTGTTAAAAATCGGTAAGAAAAAATCCAGTTTACTTTGCAAAGAACACATTTAAAGCCTGGGGTAGTCTGCACTTCTTTTTGTCTTTCAGTATGATGAACTACAATCACTTTAACTGTAGGCTGAGGGGAAAATGTCACTTTTCAGAGAATACACAATGTTCTCCTTCCTTTTTTCAGAGTATTTTTGTCCTTTCATGAAAACTTGATTGCAGGGTAAACATCTTTATCTGGCATTAGGTATGTTCTAAGTAATGAGTAATTTTTGCTAGCTTTCAAATGGCATCTGTATTCTGCCTTTTATATAAGATCTCAGCTTTTCAAGGTACACTCTTGCTGACCTCTTGAGCTGTTAACGTGCACTTGAGTAGGCTGAATGTTCTTTGGGTAAGCTGAAGATTGATACATCCCAGGCCTTGACAGCTGCAGTGTTTTTCTGTGCCAGCTTCAGACAGTGTAAGTAAGCAGTCTTTTTTCCACAAAAATTGTTTGGCTCTCAGGGCCATGCAGGGAAAAGCTTTACCAAGTCCATGAATTCTGCCAAGAGCTTAAAAAGGCTGTTTACACTTCTTTTCATCTTAAACCTTAATAATTTCTAACTCATACTCATTCCATTATACAAAATGCTTAATTAATCATATTACTGAGATTTAAATGAAATAGCCATTAAAATGTTTGGCATGTTAAAGAGAAGAAATTCACATATAGTAACGCAACATTCTTTGACAATTTCTTTGTAATACTTTGTTGCAATAATGAAAAATTTTGTTAATTTCTGTGTAAGCTTTCCTTTTGTGAAATAAAGGTCTCATATTTTTAACTTTGGATGAACTCATGGTTTTTTTGTTTGATTGGGTTTTTCTTTACTGCTAACATTTGAAGATGCATTTGTGTCCTTATTCTTTTGGCAGAGATATACTTAGGCAGGACATTGCTTAGTTTTGTGTGCATTAGAGAAGTTAAAGTACATATTGGGTGCATAGTGAAAGGCATATGATGATTTAATTTAGCATATCTGTTGATATATTTGCAGCATTTCTTTATAGTTCTGTGTATGCTCATACATAATTTGCAGTAGTAACTTTAAATATCAGTTTGTCATCGTCAAAAATAAACAGCATGTATTGAAATATCATTGTTTCGCAGTTTTGGAAATTCTTGTGACCTTTCGCTTACTTCTGTAGGATTTGTGAAGGCTTTGGTTTATGTTTTGTGGTTGTGGTTGTTGTTATTTGTTTATCATTTAATGGACACCTATTAGCCTGTTCTGTGTAGCTGTTTCTTTGAAGTTTGTTGAGTGGTCATTCAGTATTGATTGTTGCAAAGAAAATTTTTTATTTTACAGTTAGGATGAGTTTTTTAATGTCGTTTCATCTACTGTTCTTTTAGCACACATGGAACTGTGCTAAAAGTTACTGAACTTAGTTATGTAAGGAGTGGCAATTTCACTGTCATGAGTACAAATTTGTGGCTGATTTTACTCTTCTTTGGACAACTTAAAGTAGCCTGTTTGTGGAATAGTTACAGGTTAAATTGAACTAAACTGCTTGTTAAAAGAGATAGTTTGTACCTGAGTGTTTGTGTTCTCATTAGGAATGTTTGTTGAAATTTCGTACAAAGGGACATTTTGGAAAATTTAGGTGGAAATTCAGTTGTCAGAGGCTCAATACATGCTCTATATTGAGCAAAAACTATGGGAGGAATGTGAAGACTTCCAGCTTATTGTACATATTTGTACATATATAGTACATATTTGTTTATTGGTAGCAATTCAATACCTATTGCTGTGGTTTTCCATTTTTTTTTGCTTTTATTTTGTAACAGAGGAAAGCTGTGCTCAGAAGTATTCATCTGAAAGTTGAGTGCTATTCCATGTTCTTGGATTGTTGAATCTTAAACTGTTTCCCAGCTGGGACCAGGAATATATATGAATCTGCATGGTAGGACAAAAGGCAGACACGCCTGCTTGTAGGGAGTCTCATGGTGTTTGATAGTGCTTTTTAGATTCATATGGAAGCCCAAGGGCCTCAGCTCTTCTAATATATAAAAAAATAAGCAGAAAACCCAACAGCTACCTCTGTGGTTTTGTATTCGGGACAGTAAAGGGGAATGTTAAGGAAGCATGCTCATAAGCAGATCCAAGACTTTAAATAGATAAACAAAATTACCTAAACATAGCTCATGAAGTCATCAATCAGCATAATAAACTTTTGACTGTTTGCTTGACTAAGGATTTCTGAGTGTTTTCAGGTAGAATACTATTAGCACTTTTTTCTATTGGGTCTTCTCTCTGCTGTAATGATTTTGTGGCCTTTGGACTGATTTCTTAGCGATTTATGGTAGTTTAGTATAAAAGACACAGTGAATTCTGTATGAAATGTAAATGCTCAAACGCTATTATCATGTAATTCCTGCTCTCCATATTTCTGATCAGTTGAGCAATTTGAATTAAAATTATTCTAAAATTGGAGTAGATGCAATGGTCTATTCCTGTTATTATGATTCATAGATTTCCTTATACTATGCAGCAAGGCTGGTGAAGGGTCTAGAACACAAGTCCTCTGAGGGGCGCTGAAGGAGCTGGGGTTGTTTAGCTCGGAGAAAAAGGAGACTGAGGGATGACCTTATCACCCTCTCTGACTGCCTGAAAGGAGGCAGTAGCCAGGTGGGAGTCAGTTTCTTCTCACAGACCAGTGACAGGACAAAATGACACAGGCGTTAAGTTGTGCCAGGAGAGGTGTAGGTTGAACATTAGGAAGAATTTCTTCACAGAAAGAGTGATGGGGCATTGGAATGGGCTGCCCAAGGAGGGGGGGAAGTCACTGTCCCTGAAGGTGTTTAAGAAAAGACTGGGTGTGGCATTTAGTGCCATGGACCACCTGACACAGTGGTGTTTGGTCACAGGTTGGACTTGATCTCAGAGGTTGTTTCCAGCCTAATTGGTTCTGTGAAAGTAGTGTCATTTAGGCTGGAAGGACTACTGATTTAATGTCCTTTGAAATACTTAAAACAAATTTACATTTTAGTTGCTATTGTTTAGAGAGGTTTAGTCTGGTTTGTGGCATGTTTTTTGTGTGTTTGTTTTGTTTGGTTGCTTTCCCCCCAACTTACCAACATAAACACAAGATTTTTTTTTGATGTTAAAATAACTCTGAATCCGGCTTCTGTGTAGGTCCTAATGCTTTTTGGAAGCCTGCAGCAGTTGTCCAAATCTGAAAAACATTTTTATTTTTAATTCTGTTTCTGCCTGAGTAAAAGCAGTAGGTCATGCAGGTTCACAGTCTACACACATTGTAACTCTTCAGGTGACCTGGCAAGGCATTTCTGGGAGATGGTGTCTTTTATTCAGAGGACGTGAAACAAGTGCACTCTATTCATAGTCTTTCCCACTCATACAAGTTCAAGTATACTAAATGTGTAAGGCGATAGGGTGAAATTAGGGGTTGTACTTTTTTATTTTACTTAGTAATCCAGTTAATATGGTGCTTAGTGTTTCTCTTTTAACTTAATTCTGAGCTGAAAGTTAACCTATTTTTAGCACTTGTACTGAGCAAAAACTTGGATACTGATACAAAGTCATTTGAGCTACTAATTATCTGGTGTTCAGGTTTTGTGTTACCTTTCTTTCAAAATAAATGTAGTGCACCATAATCCAGTTAGTTACTGTTTACATGCAGCAAGGTCACTTGCAGTTTTGAAAAGAAAGCTGACACTAGTAACCTAATTTGATTAGAGAAGGATTGTGGTATTTTCAGGTGTTTTAGAAACATCTTGTTTCTCTCTTCTTTTTGAACAAAGTTTTTTGGTAATTGTTTGATTTTGTTTGGAAATTCAAGAAACATAGGTAGCATTTTAAAAGCTGTGCACAACCTATGAAAGACAGTTTAAATTTTTCTGCTTTTAAGAAAAAAAATAACTCTTTCTGGTGTAGTGCATTTTGCATAAGCTGATAATGGTCTTGAATTACAAGATCTTTTGGGCACTTTGGTTTTTAACATTTAGGTTTGACATTAGGAAGAATTTCCTGTCAGGCACTGGAACAGGCTATTCAGGGAAATGGGGGGTGTTGACATCCCTGTCAGTATTTAAGAGCTGTGTAGATGTGGCATGTAGGGATTAGTGGTGGATGTAGCAATATTACGTTACTGGTTGGATGCCTTGACCATAAATGTC